ATATTCCTTAAAAGGCCGATATGTCATTTAACGCATATATGGCCGAAGTAGCAGAAGTGACATAAATGCCATAAGTACCATAAGTACCATAAGTAACATTTTTGTTACTTTTCGCGTGACCTTGAATCGGGTAAGGATCGTCACCCCGATTCGGGCACCCGTGACCCCAAAAATCGGGCTCACAATACATACTACGAAGACCTTACATTATAATCTTGATATCCAATCAAATGCAAGATTTTGTTTACACGCCAATTCTATACACATACTCCAAAGATCTTCCATCATATGAGGGAAAACCTGTAAATGATTTACAAGTTTTCTCTTTTCGTCACTTATATGATCCTGATATCCAATCAAATGTAAGATTTTGTTTACACGCCATTCTAGATGGCAGAAAACCATACACTGTGAGCAGTGGAAACGTGATCCCGGGAGCACGTGGCAGGGGATGATCGTTGTGGCGCAGTAATGCAATTAACGGTTATGTCGATCATCTACCTAAAATGGGTTTCCCGGGATTATCGGTCGTAAAAGTCGTTTAGAAGATATAAGGGAAATAGCGGTAATAAGGACTTTAAGGGAAAACCATAAGTAAAGGGATATATGGTATATAGGGGATTTAAGTAGTATAGGACATTAAAAGTATATACGATAAATAATAAGTTTAATATCTTTAATAGCTGTAGGAGCGCATAAGTAATATAACAGTATATAATAAAGGCTTTGAGCCCTACCTGAGCGGTAGTTATTGGTGCTTGCAATATATTTTGACCCACATACTTTCCTGTTTCCTTGACAATACATTATAAAACCTACGATCATAAACACACCACTCGCTAAATCTAACCGCCTCTTTCGACTAAGCCGTTCGTAGGTTACACGACGTATCCATCTGTCAAGCGACTGACTCGCCGTTTCGCTCGTGTCAATATATAAAGGAATCGGCTAAGGCCTGGTGCATCACGAACTCACCCGATAAGCAACCCGAATCACCCAAGCAAAACAAAGTAAACTGACAAAGACAAAAACACGAAAAATTAACAAAAATGGTAGGCTAAACTGGTCTTCATGTACTAAGTAAAAGTGTCATAAATGCGATTTAACTAAATATGACACATTCCCCACTATCCCCAGTTTTAATTAAAAAACAGAAGATCGGGTAATTTTGTGATGCACCAGGCTTTAGCCGATCTCTATATAAAGAAGCACTCCCTTTTTTGGTTATGGGATTCTTATCGTCATTTTGGATAAAGAACTGGCTATTAAGAGGTGCTTATTTTCGAACCTGAATAAATGTATAACTATAAGGTATTAATAGATTCACTTTTTATAACCTAGCAGATAACATAATTAAATATGAAGGCAGTGTACAGTGATGGCATTAAAGCTACTGTCAACATAATGGTTAAGAACTTAGTGAATGAATATTCAGAAAAAATCATAATACATTTATAAACCTATTAAAAAAAATGAAACAGAGATTTGTGCAGTTATTAATCTGTATTTAGCTTATCTTTTATTGAAAAACTTTGTCGCATAATAATTAATCGTTTAATTGCGCTTGTTGTACATTTGTTCTCTGCTAGGGAATGTCAATAATGTTGTTAATGTGATTTTTTTAAAAATTAGTAATACTGTCTGTATTCGTTATAACGTAGTGATCGGACTGTATATTATAAATCTGTTATAATGAAATATCCGCTATAACATTATATAGTATAACAATAAAAATTTTAAATGGTGCTTTAAATTTTTACTGATCAAATGCCTTCGATATATAGAAATCTTCGGTATTAGAAGGCAAATTTATATATTCAAATATATATTTATCATATAAAAATTTTCGCTATATTTAAATATTCATTATAGAGATTATAGAGAAATTCGGTAGCTTCCTCCATTATAGCGAGGATCCACTATAAAAAACGAAGATAGACAATGGTTAGCGCCGTTAACATCAAATGCACTTTTTTGATATTGAATACATTGAAAGAAAAATTATTGACGCAGATAATATTTTTAAATGGATTATTTCCGAATGGTTAATTCTTTTGCTGAATAATTGTCAAAAAAAAAAAATTTAATAATAATAATAAAATAGGTAAATATAATAATTTAAATAAAAACCTAACCTCGTATTAATTAAATTATAAAAAAAAAAGAATAATAATCCTATGTTTTATCAATCGCATATGTTTAATTTTTCATCAATTTTTATAATATGAATGGCTTACTGAAAGGTTTGTTATAATAATCCATTTGTATGTAAATACACGAGAATTACCTGTAAGAACTTGGTACAATAAAACTCGCCAGTTTTTCCTTTATTTATTTATTTTTTAATTCGACATTTATGCATTATGCTGAGTATTGAGATCTTGGTACAATAGGCACTGTTTTTAATTCGATAATAAAAACGTTCTAATTAGCTGTATTAAACCAAAAAAAACGAAATTAGTATAAAAGTGCTAAATAAAACCAGTTAGCTCGTAAATGCAACGGGATATATAAAAGTTTTTCAATACTTTATATAACCCTACATTCCATACTTCTGATGCTGAATATATATTCCTTCCACAATTTATAGAAATAGATCAAAGAATATTGCTAAACATGTTTGCTTTGTTCAACAATTTGTATTATAAACCAACCTTCATAACATATTAATAAATTCACAGAAATAATATCAAACAATGATATGGACCCACAATAACTTTAACTTGTTAAACTAAATATACAATAACCAATCAAAGTACAAGATAACTATACAATAAACAGAATATTAAGCTTTTTTGTGTGTATTATGTAACCATCCTATAGTTTTGAAATGCCTTATGAACCCTATTTGTAACATTTTAATAATTTTACAATTTATATAAATATATTAAAACGTTACAAAGTTCATAACAATTTTGTTGTATTTCTAATATTTTAAATACATAAATTACATGATAAATGAAATATATTAAAAGTGTTAGGTTAGCAATTGAAGTGATCAGTCATCTAATAAAATCAAACATTTGCCTAGTCCTATATAAATTTCAAAAAATATTGGTTTTTTAATTATTATAAAAAAACAATTATAAATCTTTATTATATAAATTATGATTTATAATTCTAATAAAAAAATATTAAAATTTTATATATATTAATTTAAAGTATTACTAAACTTAATAGGCTGTAAAATTCATAGGCTGTAAAATTTACAGTCTTGCTTTAACCAATTAATTTTTTTTTAAAAAAAACTTATTAAAAAAGAAATATAAATAAAAAAAATCAATAACATTTTTCTAATTTTTATTAGTTTATATAGAGTTATGAATTTTATGTTTGTGAATTATAGTAATTCTTTACAAATTTAAATATATTTTTTAATTAAATATTTTACTATAGTATGCCAAATCTAAAAATATATTTTTTTTTAACAAACGTATAAAAAGCATAAAACATCTTTCTTAGAATGTTATTTTATTTTATTTTGCATTAAAGTTTTATTTTTAAGGAATAATTTTTATTCAAGTTATTATAAATACAGAAACCTTTAGAGTTATTTTATATAGAAGATTACAGCTAACTACGTATGCACTTTTAATGTATAATTTAAATAGTCTGTTTATATATTACTTTACAAATTCTATACTAGATATTATATTTGTAAACTAAATATAGATTTTGCCTATTTAAACCTTTTTGTATATGCAATATAACTTGTATTATAAAACATTTTTAGAGCATAGCTTATTCAAAGTTCTAATGTGTATTGGTACTTTTAGATCTACTTTACTTTTAACAAGAAACTTACTAAAGCTTTTATATTCTATATATAGCTTATCTAGTTTTATATAATATAATATAGTTAGGCTAACTTAACATTCATTAAACTATACTATATATTATTATAATTTTAGTCATTATTATCTATTAACATTATCTAATATATTTTATAAATTTATTACTATTTTTTTGATTTTTTGATTTTTTTTTTAATTTTATTATTTTTAATTAAAGTATTAGCTTATATTTCAAAAAAAAATTTTTTAAAATAAATTAACATTCTAATTTATTCTGGTTTTGTAATATTCTTTACAGTATTAACAACTATATTCTATTTTATTATAACAATACTAATAATAACTATAATCACAAATTAATAAAGTACTATTATTATTATTTAAATTTTATAACAATTATTACAAAGATAGTATTTTAGTACTGTAGCCTGTAAGGAGTGTAATAACCTAGTGAAGTGATCAGGTTATCAACCTCCAAGTGACAGGTCTAAAATTCAAATCCTATGAATGTGAATTTTGGAAAATAGATCTGTGTTATGGTAACTGTTTTTGTTGATCAGTTGGATTAATATAACTGTAACTTTCAGTTGCATCATCTTAAATAAAAGCTCAGAAAATCTATGTTAAATGTAACATTATATCCATATAGAAGAATGTATAACTGGTGTTGTGTTGCATAAGACTTTGGTGCAAACCCATAATAAGTCCATCAGGCACAGAAAGTGAAGAAACTGAAGAATCAAAAACCTACTTGGAAATCCTGAGTAAGGAGGTAGCACAAAACTTTCAATAGTGCTGTCAGACTAATGAAAACCCATAAAACAGATAGGTGGATAAAGTGGATAGTAAGATGTATAAAGAAGCATATGAACAACCAGGCCATTAGAATCACCAGAAGAAAAGAATACAAGGTATATCATATTAGGCCATCTGGATTAGAAGTTCAAGAAGTCCTATCAGTCCTAAGTAGTGGTTAGTAGAAGACAATAAAGAGGATGTTAGAAAGATGGGTACATAAACACCCTTGTAACTGCTACATCTCTTGCTTTCACTATCAAATCCCAATCCTTGTTCCTTAATGCATTATTCAAGTTCTTTCCTATCTTACATCATTCATTGTATTCAAACTGATCTTTTGCTTTCATTAGTTTCTTCTTTGATCAATATTTATCCTTTTTCTCATTTCTCCCTGATTGGACACTTCTTCTAATTTCCCTTATCACCTTCTTCATCGTCACCTGTACTATTTTTCCAAAGACCTTTCTAATGCTAAATACTGTAAATCCGATACTACATACTTTTGAACCCCAGCTCTTGCTTCATCATCCTTCAATACTCTTACCTCCCCTCTCTCATGCCTTATCTTCTCCTTTTCACTACTCACTCCACTATAATTACTATTTTTCACAGCTTTCTCTTTAGCCTTATTAAACATCCTCACTGCCAATCTTTCTACTAACTCCTTATTAACCCCCGTTTCTGACAAACCTTCTCCTTCATACAACATTTTCAACGCTTGTAACGACAACCTGTCCAACCCACTTTTCAAACCCTGCTGCGATACTCTTTCCGTACTATCCTCCACAACATTATCCGAAAGTAACACCATTGGAAATATCTTTTGTATATCATTTTTTCGTTCTCCATTTCGTTCCTACTTGACCATGTGATTCAACGACAAAGCTAGACTTGCAGCGAAAACAAAAGAGGAAGAACAAATTTCCATTCATACTTCACTTAAATAGCCATTCTCTATGACCTTATACTTACCATTACTCAATTAAACTATCTTCTCTTATTACCAATAATGACCTCATCATTTAATCAATCACCCGATTAAACTCTTTTACTCACGGTTACCTACCAACCTTATTGTCATAGGTGGGTGACGTGATCTCGTGACAAATGACTGCCTCGTGACTTCGTTCACGGTATTTCAAAGCGATAAAATTCTTAAAATCTACAGAATCTCAGAATCTTTTTTCGAATCTTAATAATACCTAATTCAAAAGCAATTATTGTCTGAAATGTAGCGGAGAACTTACAATGAATGAATATACATATGCATAACAATAAATATATGGTTTATTTTGCAGTATAAGATTCGGACATTGACAGTAGAACCACTGAATTTTAGTAGCAGCAAAAATATTTCTAGCAATATCACAACGACCACATAACCAAATTGGACAGAAATTGTATTCTATAGATATAAAAAATTAAAATAAACCCATTTTGGTCATATTTGATTATGCAGTTTCCAATGCTATTTTTGCCAATATTAAAATTCATTGGCCTTAATTAACAGAGTAAAATTTTATACTGACTTAAGTTATAATATGTTAGGCTTGCAATTGATATCAATAATGCATCTTACGGTAACAGGAGGAAACGTTGATGTTACACAATTGATTTTACACACGGTGTGAAACACATAAAAAAATTTTTTTACAA